TTTGTTTTATAATGTGAATGTCAACTAAGAAAAGATTTTCTAAAATTTGCATTTAAAGAGGTCCTCAAACAAAGATTTTGAGATTCATGGTGGAAGTTGAAACTTTTTTTATTTTGAAATTATTGTTATTATGCCAATGGTTACAGTTTATAATAGTAATAGTAGAAATCACTACTTTTTTTTAATTGTATATAAATGGTCACCATTGGTTAGGTGAGTACTCTATTCTATATAGATTAGGTTCAAAGTATACATCAAATTGTCGCGTTAACATAGCCTCGAGCTTACCCATATACTCAAAAACTTCTCGATTGATTTTGATGAAAACTCAGACTATTTTTAGATGAAACTAGTTTAAACCTCCCAAGTAAAATATACCAAGTGCGAAGTCTAATCAGAGACATGCGGTTGCCCATCTAAGTTGAATAATTTCACAAGCTAAGTCCTTGAACCGAGGTACACTAAAACTGAAATATATTTAAACCAAGATGTACCTAAATAGCTTACATACTATATAGGAATTTTCGGCAAAAAAGCGGCACATGGCCAAAGCAAAGTTATTCAGCTAGTATATTATAAAATTATAAAAATTCAAACATAATTTTTCTCACCTTTTGGTGTGGTTGAAAAGAAAGAGTTTGTTTTTGCTTGCTTGATATTTTGATTATGTACTTCAGTAAGGATGTTTTCAATTACTATGGTAATTTGTCATAATGTGCTAATTGAAAGAGTCTAATCTGATTTCTTAAAGAAAAATTAAGTGTCTTAAAAAGTGGTTTTTACATTAACTAGTATGGGAAATATCTAGGGATTGGTGGATAACAATGGCTGAAGCGAGTCTTATTATGTCAATATTGATAATGTATTCATAAACAAATATTTTTTATTTTAGAATAACCCAGATTCAGAAATCGCAGAGAGAACTTTAGATGGATTACGCCAAGTGATGGCAGTTAAATCCAGAGTGGTTTTACCATATTTAATACCTCAGTTGACTCAACCACCTATTAATACAAAAGCTTTATCAATTTTAGCTTCAGTTGCTGGAGAAGCTCTTAATAAATATTTACATAAAATATTACCTGCCTTATTAACAGCTTTATCTAAAACTGAATCTGCGGCTGAGGTAAAGTTATTATTATTAATTGTTGTATTGTATTTACCTGCAAAATTATTTTATTAGGAACTAGTATATTGTCAAGCTGTTGTACTAGCAGTTTGTGATGATGCCGGAACTATGGTTGATTTACTATTAAATGCCACACAAGCAGAAAATGTTTCTCAAAAGCAATCAGCATTACAATTATTAGCTGTATTTTGCACTCATACAAAAGCAGATTATAGTTCATATGTTCCTAAACTTTTACATGGAATAATTTATCAATTTAAAGATCAAGATGAGAAAAATTTACAATTAGCTTGGGAAGCTTTGAATGCTGTTTGCAAAGTATTTTATTATTTTATTTATTTCAATCTTGTTCTTTGTGATTTGTTTATTTATTTATATTTATTATAGTCTGTTGATACAAAACAAAGTAATCACTTAGTATTTGAAATACGTCAAGCTATAAAATTTGTGATGAGTGATTTCAAGCATTTAGAATATCTTCCAGGTTTCTGCATACCAAAAGTAAGCTAATGATTTTTTTTAAAGGCGATATTCTAAATCTTTTTGAATGACTATATTATTAAAAAAAAAATTTTGTTTGTAATGAAATAAAGTGCTTCAAAAAATAATAATTTTTGTGGTCTAAAAATTGTTATTTAATTTAATTAATGAAGTTGAGTTTTACCCACGATATCAGAAAATCCCAGCATATCTAATATTATACACTTTTGATAATTACTTTGTACGATTAATATAATTAAAGAAATAAAAATAATTTAACATATAGATTATGGAAGTATATTTTTGATAAGGTTATATTATATTTCTTTAAATATTTTTATCATTTCCATAATATTAACAATTATTTCAGCATAGTTAGGAACAACTAAAAATAAAAATGTTTAATAGCATAGATAAATTATATTATATCTACTCTGATGTTTCAAGCTTTAACCAATGCATTATTAAAATATGTATTTAAAAAGTAAAATAAATGTATAAAAGAACCTTACAATAAAATATATAAATACTTATACATTTACACATTAAATTTTTTTCCTATAATTATTTTAATTGTACAAAGTAAATACTCCTTGTGTATTTTAGATTCTGAGATATTTTTGTTAGATAGTGTGATATGGTATAATGAGTAAATATGATACTTTTAGAGATGAAAACACTATTTTCATTCAAAATAATTTTGTTTTTTGTATATTCCTTTAATAAATGGTTATGATTTGCTTTACATTTGTTTCACCCAAAATTAAACTTTTTATGTCTGTTTTATTTGTAGGGGGCTGATCCATTTGTACCAATATTTAGAGAAGCGATTCTTAATGGTAGTCCAGAAATCAAAGAGCAAGCAGCTCAAGGTTGGGGAGAAGTTGTTAAAGTAGCTGCAAAGGAAGGATTAACATCTCCTGTATTGAATATGACTGGACCTCTCATTCGTATTTTAAATGAACGCTACACATGGAACATAAAATCAGCAATTTTAGAAACAGTTGCTTTATTACTAGCCAAGGCTGGAAGTAATTTAAAACAGTTTCTACCCCAGTTGCAAACAACATTTTTGAAATCATTACAAGACCCAAATAGACAAGTTAGGCTTAAAGCAGCCAACGCTCTAAGTCATCTTATTGTTGTACATTCTCGCACGGAAACAATTTTTGTTGACCTTCATTCTGGAGTAAAAAATTCAGAGGATATAACCATTAAGTAATTAAAACAATAATGCACAATATCAAATTACTTTTAGTTTATGCTCTTTTTAATTTCTTCTCTTTAGAGAAACAATGCTTCAAGCTTTACGTGGTGTTATTTCACCAGCTGGTGATAAAATGTCAGATCAGGTTCGAAGAACTGTATTTATGACTTTAAGAGAAGGACTAGGGAACCCAGAAGATACTATTAGAAGTGGCACTGCTGGTTGTCTCGGCGCTTTATGTAAATGGTTGTCTCCTGAACAATTAAACGTTGCTTTGAATGATCATATTTTGAGTTAGTATAGCTTATTCGACTTCATTATTCTCATGTTATTCCATATTTAATACAAATTTACATTTTCCAACAGTTGATGATCCTTCACTAGATCCAATATTGAGGCATGGTAGAAGTTCAGCATTGTTTGTTGCCCTCAAAGAATCCCCAGATTCAGTGTTTAGTTCATTGTATAGTGATAAAGTTATAAAAACAATTTTATGTCATTTACAAGCAGATAAAGTAACAAATAATTAATTACTTATAACTCCAATATTAAATGATCACATTTTTAATTTTTAGATTTCTATTGTGATGAATGGAGTTCGAAGTTGTGGATATTTATTTTTACACTTAATGAACATTGGTTCAATAATACCATCACAACTTTTAAGTCCATTTACTAGAGTATGTAAAAAAAAAACTTATAATAATTTTATATCTTATACTATTTTATATAATAAATTATAGTTGATGAATCAGTCCAGTAATGAAGTTAAGCAGTTAGTGGCACATATTTGTTCATATTTAGGGAAATCGGGTGTTACTATATCTCCAGAATTTCAAAAGGCAACCATACCAATGTTAGTTAATGGAACTAAAGAAAAAAATTGTTATGTCAAATCAAATAGTGAAATAGCCCTGGTTGCTGTTCTTAAATTGCAACAAGGCGATGCAACATTGCAGGTAAATACAATTTCATGAGCGACTATAAATTTTAATTGATTACCATAAAATGTTTTATTTTTATTTTTAAAAATAATATATTATTAGCCTCAAAATAAAAATAGTTAAAAATAGCTTAAAGTTGTTATCAAATCAGCCAATGGTTGAGGCCTGATGTGGCCAAGCAACTTATGTGTCTGGCGGACAAGCATAGCCTCGAATCCCAAGCTCCAGGATGGGTGATCACCTAGGTTCCTTCACACTCCTTGCCCCACTCAAACACATGATCCTAACACTTACCGGAACTCCCCCTAAATGCTAATGGCCATAGTTATCAATGCTCAGTCCATTAAAAAAAATAATTAATGCTTTTAAACAAGTTAAAATAGAATTATTGTTAGTAAAAACATGTATATTTTAAATGCAGCCTGGACCTGAAATGGAGGTAAACAATTGTGCATACAATTTGAGTCTATAAATAACATTTGGCTATGGATTAAAAATAACAATAATATATACTAATATACTATTTTATTATCTTTTATTTTAGGCTTGTTTGAATTTATTAGATACTGGTGCTCGTGAAGCACTAAATGATGTTATAAATAAAGTATTGCGTAAAGTTTCAACTCAAATGGACACCAAAATTGAAGAGCTGGATGATACATTAATTGGTTGAAATTAGTATTATAAATCAATTTAAGTATTCGCATTAATTTTTGTGTGTATAAATAATCAGATTAATATTAATAATATTAACTCAAATCATTTATTATGTATAAAATGTTTGTGCTCATAATGTCAATAATTTACTAATTATTTAAATATTGTACATGGACATTAAAAGAAGTTAAATCAAATTGTAACTAGTAATTACATTGCAGTTTAATATTTTGTACATTGATTTTTATGATACATTTTGATGTTTTTATTAGAAATTATGATTAAATTATGGAAACAATATATATTTTTTTAAGACGTACTACACATATCCAATTAAAGAATAATTCGAATACATCATGAACTAGGTCTCTTAATTTATTCATTTGGATATTAAATATGTTGAATAAAAACGATTTTTTATTGTTGATAAATAAGTTTTATTACTTACTGTTGGAACTATAATATTTCCTTTTTGACACAACTATCGAATTTGCATAGAATGTATAATAAATCATAAACACATGCATAACAGTATCAAGTTTTAAGATAATGTTGCCAGATTTATCATACTCAAAAGTCACAATCTAGTTTCAAAATTATTTCATCTTATATTTGTATAAGTTATAAATTGATCTATTCAAAAAAAATTATATCACCCTCAGGTATTCACTCACAAAGATTCTCGAGGAAAGAAATGGGTAAAAAGATTATTTCATTACTACTGACTTATATAGAACACAGGTGCTATCAACATTTTATTCATATAATTTTATCTTACCAAAACTATTATTTTTATTTAATAATTTATACAATATTTATTTCTGATAAAACAATGTAAAATGAAAAAGTTTAAAAAATCTATTAGTTAGTCAATTGAATTTTACTAGCTTCTTTATTTGATATCATTTCTATTAATTCCTTTTGAAGTGTTGTAGGTATTTCCAACATGATTATGTCATCTTTATTTTTTAATAAACTTGCTAATTTTAACAAGCATAGTTGTCGTAAGTCCATAGCTGGCATTTCAATTAAAACCCTTGTTCTTAATGGTACATTGATAGGATGTTTAAATTCAAGACGCCTATGTTCTTCAGCCCAAGGTGTTGCGATGAATACTTCTCTTCCAGCAACAACCATATGACTCTTTGATATACATTCCCTACAAATACCAAACAATAGTTATACTCATACAGATTACAAAGAAAATATGGATATTAGCAAACCTAAAAACCCATGAATGTGTAGAAAATGTGTTAACATCTAAAAATTTATTTGGAGCTAAAATACAGTAGGTTTGTTCTTCATTGTGAAAATTCATCCAATTTACTTCGATGCTATAGCAGGTGTTGTTTTGAAAACGCACATACGCTGGTTTCCTCTGAGCAACGTCAAACTGATCACCCATTAAAGCCATTGTCAGTTTAACATCGCTCACTGAATTATATGAAAAAAGAATTTTCAGATAACATACAATTATAAATGTATGGATTTTTAAATGAGAATATACAATGAAATAGTTGTACTAGCCACAGACATACAAATTAAGGAATTTACTGAATTCCAAAATAACTTTAAGAGCTTTGACTTTACTTCTCACAGATAAACATTTAACTGGGCTCTTATTTAAGAATTTGATGTATAGATAGTAAAAGTGTTCTTTAAAGTAATAGGCCTAGTAAGATACATGCAAGTACAACAATCAATAACAAAGTGTTCAAATCATTTAATACATAATAATAGTTCGTCTTCAAATTTTCCCGAATGACTTAATCCTAAGCCGTATGACCGTATCCATGAAATATTTACATCTATGATCAGTTCCAACAATATGACAAAATATTGTTGAGAAGGAAATTAATGTGGTAATGTAAATTAAATACAATTAGACAAACGTAATAATTTATTACTAAATAGTAAAATACATTTTAAAATGTAATAAATATTCAATGTTAAAAAACAAAGTACTAACACAAATCGGAGACTAGTAAATAGTAATTGAGTAATTGACTACAAGATACAGACAACTATGGACTACATAACAATAAAACATCAATATTATTATGATCTAATCACAATCTATTATCATCATAGATAACACATGCAAACTATATGATAAGAAAATTGGGCACTATCAGTCACAATCGTTTTTACCACGGAAGTTGTATATTTTTATATGAAAATTTATCATAACCACACCATCTGTAGTAGTTCTGACTTCTGAGTTCTGACAAAACTCCTAACCTTAAATTTCCTATATTGAAGAACAAAAGACAATTTTTCACTAATTGTAAATTACTGGACAAATTTACATGCGATTGAAATAAAAAATCACATTTGTGATGTTAAGATGTTATCACGCTGACACGCTCTAAAGAACATCCAAATTTCGCTTGTAAATGATAAAAATTTTAGTACAAAATATACAAAGGCTAAGACACGAGGTAGTGTCAAACATAGTGTTAACACTGAAAACAAATCAATTTTTTTTATTAAATATTCAATTATTTTCACATTAAATTGATCCGTACGCACGAATTGTAAATACAATTTTCGTTCAGCGGTGAAGTGAAATCCAAATACGTTGGAGTATAAAAATTAAGTTGTTGAACTGAAAGCAGTGTTTAATCAAATGCTGGGCGACGCCATTTTCCGCGCCCGGAGAGGGGTATCTATTGCTTGGAAATAAACACAAAATGGGTTCGTTGTTTTGAATACTCAAAAAATCATTTTCTACTCAAATTATTAGTGGAAATCAAATGTGACTTGTGAATAATTCAATTATCTAGTATCTTATTAATTCATAGAAGATAAAATTTACGCCAAATCCATTTTATCCACAGGTACGCCTTTTCCTATATTGATTGGCTTTTGTTAGGTCTGACGGAAGATTATTTTAACTATAATATTATTATCGGCAACATTTTTAAGTTGTAAAATGCTATATTTATATTCATATTTGATTGTTATTGAGTGAAATATAATCACTAGTCAAATTTGAATACTCATTTTCTTGAGAGTTGTGACACAGCTTAATAGATCAAGATAATATATGAAGTATTGTTTTTATGTTAGTTTTTCTAATATGTAAAAATTAATAATTGATTTTTATACTTAATATTGTGAACATTCTATATTTCATAGTTTTTCTACAAGACATTTTCCCTCCAAATTCACATATTAATTGGTTTCATTTATTTACACTTGAATAAAAAGATTTTTTTTTAATCAATTATTATTAAAGAGTAAATACTATGCTATTGTGGAATTGTTGCAGTACAAATACAAAAGTTTTTCTTTAATCACTAAGCCCTATTTCTAACCACTTTTCTAGTGGTCTGTTTTTCATACTTATTAGCCCATTTATTTTGTACCTGATTTTTTCTAATTTAGTCAATAGACAGTTTATTTATCGCTTTAGGCAGGTACATTATTACAAGTAAAAATTTTAATAATTCGATATTGATTAAATCATATTCTTAAGTACTATAAAAATAACTTAGAATACTTAAGAAAAATATTGGAGAGACATAGTCAGTATTCAATTAGGGTATATAATAAACTAATATATAATGCTTGTGCACTTTAGTACCTACGTAATGCTAATTCGCTCAATGTTTGTTTAATTTTTTTCAGCTTTCCAATGATTTTAAATGTACATTTGAAAATGAATATTCAAATATTTCTATGTATACAATACGAAGGTAATTATTTTATGGTTTTCTTATTGTACTGAATTGTATTTGTTTATTATATGGCTTATATTTATATCCTATTGTCAATAGAGATTTGGGTTAATATATAAATATTATTCTTAACTTTTTTTTTCAGATTAATTAATTTGCTATCAAATATTGGTAAATAAATGTTGATTCATGAAGATGGCCATGAGAAATAATTTGAATAGCAGTTATAAACAAGTAAAACGACCAAACGGTAAATACGGGCATTTGTCATTACATAGTGGGATTAGTAAATGTGATATTTGTGGAAAAAATTTTCAAAGAATGAAGTTATTTGACCATATCAGGGAATCTCATCATCAATACTTCTGTTTAGTTTGTAAAGCTAGATTTAAGATACATAAAGACTTGATATGTCACATACAAGATATTCATCAATTAGTAGCTTCGGATAATCTTAACAAATCTCAAGATGTATTTTGTGATAGTGTAAATAAAAGGTACTTTGCTCAGCCTCTTCTTTCTTCTCGACTTCCAATTCCACCTACTACAAATTCTCAATTTTCAAGTAGTAGCTCTGAAGATGATGAATTACACTTAGATAACATAGATGTAATGGATGTTGTTTTGGGTACTAAAAATTGTGAACAACGTAAAGATGAATTGGAAGTAAGTGTTATTATTGATGACATTATAAAATATGTTATAGATGATGTTAAAGCTGATGACCTTTTTGAAAGCACATTACAAGACTTAAGTTGTTCTGATATATCAGTAACTGATGAATTTGATAACAAAACTCTTAAAAAATTAGGTGTTTCTGAAGAAGACACTTATCATACCCAATGTTCTATGTCCCAGAGAAATTGTGATAATTCTCTGTCTACAAATGCACATTTTTCTGAAAACAATGAGTTGTCAATTAACACATTAACCCAATCTCCACTCACTGTGGACTTGATATCTGTACAAACATTACAAAATCTTGAAGAAGAGTTTAAACTTGGAATTAAAAATATGTCTACAGTTTTATCAGAAAAAAGTCCATGGGTAAATGGACCAGAGGCACTACAAAGTATTAATAACTCAACAAAGAATGATAATCTTCTTGTTATGGCTCTAACTCTAGATCATAAATTGACCGATATGAAAATAAATGTAATACTTAAAGAATGTATTAGAACTTCATGTTTAACATGTGTTTATTGTCACAATTCAACTTGTATTGCTGTGAATGGTAAACAACTAGCACTGCATATGATAGAAAAACATCGTTTTATGACTGTAAAAAATGAAACTTCTGAAGATGTTGCTAATATCTTAAAATCAAATTTGGATGCTTTAGAAAATATTTATTTAAACTCTGAAAACTATGACTCTAGTGATGATTTAAGTCATTTACCATTTAATAATACTTTCTATTGTTTCAATTGTCAATATACATCAAATCAAATGAAAGAAGTAAACTCTCATAAACGAAGTGTACATTCAAGAAAAACGTATGACTGTATCATGTGCAAAATAACTTTTTCCAATTATGGAGAACTGCATTGTCATTTATGTCCTGGAGCTGATCTTGGAGTTTGGCAAAATTTATCGTTTAGATGCTTATTTTGTGGCCAGGGTCAGATTCCATCTGCATTTCGATGTATGGTTCACTTGAGAAAAGCTCATAATGCATGTGATTATTGTTTGGAAACATTCTCCAATCAACAAAGTTTAGCATTACACGTTAATAAACATAAAATGAGGCATATGTGTTTAAAATGTAACATTACTTATCTTAGTAAGAAGGATATTTTTGAGCACATGTTTTGGAAACATAATAGGGACAGCAAAGAATGTAAATCATGTTTAACAAAAAAATGGCCTTATACATATCATTTTTGTGTTCCCCCTGCAATGTTCACATGTGATGAATGTAGAAGAACATTTTCCAATGCTTTATTATTAAAAGTTCATGAAAGATGGCACTCTGGAAATGTTCCATATGAATGTCATACTTGTTCCAATAAATTTATTTCCAAAAAGCTACTTAAGAAGCATGAACTAATTCATAAAGAAGTAATATCTCCTATAAAAAAGAAAAAAAAGAAGAAGAAAAAAGGATTTGACTATAACCTTCCTCCCTTAAATCTTTCTTCTGATAGTGATACAGAAAAAACTCCTCGTCATAAACCTGAAAAATTTTTAAAATCGCCTAGTCCAAGTGGTAACTATTGGGATTATGTTAGTAAACAAAAAAAAGAATTAGTGAATATTGCATTACTAGATCATGACTATACTTTATTATCCGCAACTAGTCAATCTGAAATAATAAAAACCCCTCCATATCCAGATGAATTAGCAGCTATTGTAAATGGTAGTGATAACATATTAAATAATTCTTTCAACATTTCATGTCAAAGATCATCATGTTCGTCACACTGTAATTCATCATCTTCTTCATCTAGTTCATGTGGGTCAAATTGTTCATGTTCTTCTTCATGTTCTTCATCATGTGACTCTGATAAGGAAGAAAAGAAAAAGCCAATAATTGAAAGTCCAAAAAAACACAAAAAGAAGAAAAAAGAAAAAAAAATCAAAGTTTTAAGTGCCAAAAAAATAGCGAATTTCAATTTGTGTGCATTAGAATCTGATTTGGAAAGCGAGTTTTCAAATACAGATAATGAAGAATATTATGATATTAATCCAATCCCTTTGCATCCTGAACTAAATAATAAAGAAATAATAAAAGAAAAGCAAGAAAATCTTATGGAAAATGCATTAATTTTACCTAAAGTTAACAGTACATTAATACCTTGCATAACTTTACCAAATGATAACAGTTTTAAATTGTCTAATCCTCTTCAATGTACAAACATTGAATCTCAAATATTAAATAATAGCAAATCTATTGGTTTACCCAATAATGAATTTAAAATAGCTGATGAATATGAAATTTATAGTAGTACTTATTCATCGTCTATAAATAATATATCTCCACCATTTAATAATTTTTTATTACCTAATGATGATGGGGTATGTATTGGGAGTACTTTAAACAAAAGTTCAGTTACTATATGCAATGGCAATAATAATTTACATAGTATAGAAGATGAATTAAATTTGAGTTTATGTCATGGTAAAAAAGTTGTACACAATAATTTTACACCACAAAAAACAAGAAAACGTCTTCATTCTTCATCACCTACAAAACGACAAACAAAACGTAAATTAAAATTAAAGGCATCAAAAGAAGCTCCTCTATTATCGAAAGTATCAAAAGTAGTAGCAAGCATTCCTTCGCCGCTTTCAATTAACTCTTCTTATTCGACATGTTCGCCTAATTTATCCAGAAGCCCTATGTCGTCAAATGATACTCGTCAGTCTA